ATTGTTAGTTTAATTTATTAGTTCTAGAATTAGCATGAAGTAGCTGGGACACATATCATATCTTCATTGACTATGGGTCTTCTTATGTGAAAGTGTCTTTTCAAAGTTGTAACTGTAAATTTGTAACTGTAAAGTCGCATGTGCACTCAGACTTGGATGAACCAAGTGTCAAATCAACACTAAAATTGACTCTGAGTCTCTGACTAACATTCCTTAGTACTATCATGGATAAGTTAAAAGAAAAGTATTTTTTGTTCCCATCTAATCCCATCAGTTGAATCATGTTTCGCTGGTATATGTATACTGTGTATACCTACTCATGCAATTACAGTTTTTGAATACCTTGGGCTTGGAAAATTCAGGGCATGGTTTCCAAAACATGTAAGTATGCAGATAGAGAGACTTCTGTGTATATATGTGGTACTTGGTTGAAAAAAAAAAGAAGTGGCAGACCTCCAGTACAAAGGACAAAAAAGGTTGAAACAAAGAAATACCAGACCTAGCATACCTCCAGTATGCAAGTATGGGAAATATCACACTCTGAAGAAACTCTAATGCTCAATGAATTAGAATAATTACAACTTACCTTTATTTGTTAGATGTATAATACCAAGTGAAAAACAACTTTGCTGGAAATTTAGTTCTTCACAATTTGTCCTGAAGATATCTTTTGCTTTAGAATTATTTCTTTCTACAGCTTGATAAAATTCACCAAGTTGATGGCAAGCTACAAATTGAAGTAGACTGTCAGATAAGGATAAGCACAATTGAGTAACATAAAGGACATCAACACTAACCCATTGAGCACCAGCACTCTCCTCTTGAAAAGTAATTTAAGGCCCTGGCATTAGACAATTAGAGTAAAATAATAAAGTGGTAATAAAGGGTGCAGTAAGGTGCATTGCAATACAACTTAATGGGTTAAAATTAAATAGATCTAAGTTTATATAGTTAAGAAGACTCGATTAAAACTGTTTATATTATAATTTATTGCTGATGAGCAACACAAAGCAGCACACTATTCTTGACACTATTTGCATTTATACACAGCAATTTCAAAAAATTAATAGTAAATATATAGAAAGCATCAAAATTGTGCACCCGGATATATATATCTCTGTTGTGTGACACAAATGTTCCACACTGGGGGTTAATCAGACTATCTGGCCATGTGTCTGGTTAATAACCCATTAAGTTGCATTGCACCCTACTTTAATATCATTTGATTTAATACTCTGTCTAATGAGGCCCACCAAGGGGTGTAACCCAGGTCGCTTGTCACACATTTTGAAGCTGTTTTGTCGCTTGTTTTATTGTAATAAATGTCACTGTCACTTTTGACCCATAACACAAATCGCAATTTGTTGCTTTTTCCCAGTCAGGAGCTGTCGTTTGTCACTCAGGTATGTTAATGCCTGGGTCTCAGTTTGTGTATTTAGCGAAAATAGATAAAAAATCATAAAAAAATAAGTATGGCCTTGATTATTACCATTCAAGTTTTATATGATTTATCAAAGGAGATTCTAAAAGTTGACCTACTTTTCGTTGTCATGGCAGCGATCACGTGATGTATATTTCGAAAAACAACACAAAAATTGATACGTTTTATTCAGACGCTCTGCAGCAGTATAATTCGTGACTGAGAGGACGCAGAATTGCGATAATCATTCACACATAATATCACTGTTTATTGAATGAATCTGGAAAGTTTACATTTAGGCTTCGTTTCATTATTTTATGCGGCTATATTACGACGATCGGCATCAAACGAATGTTAATCGCGTCATTAAATGTTATCTACAAATAAATGTACGATTTCCAAATTAACGCAGGAAACTTTGTTCCCTTGTTAATGTTTTAAGCTAATAAAAATAGCAAAATTTCGTCAAATTACCCTGCTGCAAGTCGAACGCGTTTTTCGCGTGATGAATTTCACGCGCTATAATGAAACAGTCTGCCGCTTAGTGTAAGGGATATTATATTTCCAATAACATTTTAAAACATTCATTGCGCATTCAAGCCGATATCTTGAAGCATAGTTAATGCTTGAAGGGAAGCATGCCATGGTGGAAAAGACCGACTAAACTATACGTGCTATAATTAATTTATAGTTCACAAGCAATTTTTCATTGAAAATAAGAAACAATCAACAATTAATACTGAATAATCGCAAGATAGCGCACTATAAGGAGCTTTTATTTATCAGCAGTTCAAAGGTCAGCTGTCGCAAATGATACAATACTTATTGCTATACAAATAGCCATTATTACATAAAAAACTGAATAGCGCATACCGACTTCTTTGCATTGTATATTCCAAAATAATCCTGTCGCTCATATATACTATATTTTGATTTGAAGCAAATGCCAGAATTCACTAAAATACTCACACAAGAGGCGCATATTCTAACAGACGCATTACTGACAGATCGCGTGTGCAACACGCGCGCAAGATATTATCCAAGCGTGGGCAGACCCAGGCATTAACATGCCTGAGCACTCTTTTTTAGATAGTCTATCACCTCTTTATAAGGAATGTCGTCTGTCAGGCATAACCCTGTGGTGGGCCTCTGTAATGCTAGACAATTTTACTCATCATGGGGAGGGCACTGGCACTCGATGGGTCAATTGTAAATAAACTGGGTTCGGGTCATTCCACTTAATACCACCCCTCCCCCCCTCCTATGGATGATCCGATTCCTACAGGAAGTGTTTTGCATAATGCTGATTCCTAGAGGGTCACTTTTTCTTTAAAACCATATTTCCCACACAAGGTTACATGTTGAAAGGCTGATTCCTACAGGGCAATTTCTAGTAACCCCCTCCCCCCTGGACTTCCAACTATAGATTATCCAATTCCTACCGGTAAAATTTTGACAAAAGCTCATCTGTACAGGGGGGTGCAGATAGTAAATGGAAAGAATATTGGGGGGAAATTCCATATCCCTTGGGTTTAGATATTCACTGTCGATTCCAACAGAGTACTTCTCGGAAGCCAGCTGATTCCTACAGGCAAAATTTTGAACAAAGCCATCCATGGGGGGGGGGGGGTAATAAATGGAATGACCCTTTCAACCCTAAATTTATAAAATTATATAACACAATTCAAAAAACATTTTGGAAACAAACATTCTTTTTTTCTTGCTCCAAGACAATCATGTTCCAAAATAACTCTCAGTTGATCAACATATTCTTCAGGGGTCTGCTGTGCACCTCTCAAGTCAAATCCAGACATTATGCTCAACAGAAACTTTTATTTATCCTTTATTTATTTGTACAATATACATTCCTTTCTTTTCAGAAAATATGGATTCCTGAGGATTCCATAATTTCCATTTCGGGTTGAAGACTTGAAGACTTGAAGACTTATTCTATGCTTGAAGTTCCGGATGGTGTTTCCACCTTTTATATGTAAAGAACAATTTTCATTTTCCGTAAAGATCAGCCGCTAATATTTTAATAAAGACGGGTTACAGTCCGTGCTGCGCATGTGCGATTCTTTTTGTTTTGGTAGACTACTTATCTCTTGTTTCCATGGTTTCCAGTGCGATTGCGTAATATACGCGCGATTCGGCGATTCTATATTTGTTGATACAAGGAGTGGGAATACACGTACAGTTTCGAAGAGATTTTCAACGATTTGTGACTTTTATGAAGTGAAATCCGATTAATAACAAATCATTGAAACAATATGAGAAGAAGGAAAGAATATTAGGCCAACAAGGATGCCTTTAAAGTATGTTTATTTGAAATTTATTTCAGTCAAGCGCTTCGCCATGTACGTCGTACATATAAAGGTAAATATTTGTTTATACATTTGATTATTTCGTTCTCCTGAGTCGAGACTGGATCTCTAATTCGCTGTGAATTTGTGACAATTTTTAAGCTAGGGCAATTACATTCATTTACTGTCTGAGAAAATATGGGATCTCTGAGTTTTATAGTTCAACTTGTTCAAGACATGTATAGACTATTCAAATATAGTACTTGAAATCTAATTTAATCACCTCAGGCTCAGTAAAGGATAAAACTGATTTCATCTTTATATGGTGAGGTGTTATCAAAATGCTACTGGGATTGAGTTATTGGATGATTATTGTTTTGTAATTCATAATCAGGCATCTCCAGATGAACTTTTTGGTAGCAGCATATATTTTTTTACATCGGACATGATTGTACTGTATGTTAGTTTTCACATGGGACCCAGTCCTGCTGACCATACATTCAATCATTGTTATATAGTTTATAGCACTTTTGTGTGATTGCATATTAAAATTAATATCACTACTGCACTGGACAAAAATGTACTATGTTGAATGACATGGCATGATTGTTTGTGAACCTTCAAAAAATGCATCCCATAGTGTAATCTTTATAAAGGGTATATACCCCATGTAAAACTTTTTTTTGGAAACATTGATACTGTAGGTTCTCATTCATGGAAAAATTGAGGACAATTTGCAGATCACCACCACCATATTCATGGCTACACCCACCAAAATCTGGACTGCTGCAACTGTAGACATTGTGTTCCCCATGCCGACAGGAAGAAAATATGTGCTCTGTTAGATCAAGATAACTTTGTATATGTAGAATACTGTTGTTCCAAGAAATTGTTTTTAGTCAGATCTATGTTCTAAACATTGCTATGAACCCTTACTCACACTAGCAATTTTCTTGGCAAATTTTTTCTCATGATACATGTAGGAACATTGATGAAAATACAATAGTAACTGTATTTTCTGTTGTGACATTTATTTGAAAAACATCATGATCACAGTCCTGAAGAAAGTTGCTAGTGTGAACAATAGTTACAATACAAATCTTGTAGAAAGTTGCTGGTGTGAACCACATCTTGGCAGTATCTGTTGCACGGCATCAACTAGCCACCCAGACAAAAGTGTTATATTACTGTTATACCTAGTTGTTGTAAAAAATTCAATATATAGCATATTGCTTTATATCACACTAATGATCAGATGTTCATACTTTACTACAATATAATATAATAAAATGCAATACATGTAATATCATTCATTAATGTTAAACATCTAATGAAACTCCCAAAACAAAGCAGATGTAAGGATTAGACAATTTTCCCCTGACTATGTTACATGATGGTAATGTTATCTATCAGTATTTATATCTCAATGTTGGCCAGATAACTATTTTAGCCAGAATGTTAAAACTGCTATACTACATTTTTGTTCACATGGCATGAAACATGGTGCTTGAAATCAGTTATCATATATCCATACAAAAAGATATTGAAATATATAAAGCAGCTACAGGAAATAGAACTAGAAAACATTTTATAGGTGGTTATTAAGGAGATAATTTTCTGACTCTCGACCAGCACTGGATAACATTCCCAAGTCAATCAAACTATTCTCAACTCAATCAAATTATTCCAACTCATAAACAATACTTGTGCTCTTATGTAATGTGAATTGTTATTATAAGGCAATACATTCTTCCATCTTTGTTTCATCAGCAATCTGTATTGTTTCTTCTATATTTATTCCTCTCTTTAAATTTGTTTCTGATTGGTTAACCACTATATGGTTGTTATAACCACATCTCCACACTCATCACCATGTTTATTCGATGTTAGTGTTGTACAATCTGTAATGTTTCCATGAGCTCAAGGTAACCTATAGTACAGCATAATAGAAATTTTATTCAGTATGTTCAATCATGTCATGTAAAAAAATTCAATATATTCTGCTACCAGAAAGTTCATCTGGAGATGCCTGATTTATGAATTACAAAACAATAATCATCCAATAACTCAATCCCAGTAGCATTTTGATAACAGCTCGCCATATAAAGATGAAATCAGTTTTATCCTTGACTGAATTAAGCTATAGTACTGAGCCGAGGTGAAGTACTACAAATATACTACATCAATACATGTCTCGAACAAGTTGAATTATAAACTCAGAGATCCCATCTTTTCTCAGACAGTAAACGAATAAAATTGCCCTAGCTTAAAAATGGTCACAAATTCACAGTGAATTAAAGATCCAGTCTCGACTCTGGAGAACGAAATAATCAAATGTAAAACAAATATTTACCTTTTATATGACAGTATATTAAACTTCGACATGGCGAAGCGCTTGACTGAATTTCAAATAAACACACTTTAAAGGCATCCTTGTTGGCGTAATATTCTTTCTTTCTTCTCATGTTGTTTCAATGATTTGTTATTAATCGCATTTCACTTCATAAAAGTCACAAATCGTTGGAAATCTCTTCGAAACTGTGTATTCCCACTCCTTGTATCAACAAATATAGAATCGCGCGTATATTACGCAATCGAACTGGAAACCATGGAAACGAGAGATAAGTAGTCTACCAAAACAAAAAGATCGCACATGCGCAGCACGGACTGTTATCATAAAAAAATTACCTTTAGCAATTCGGGAAAAGGTATTTCGCTGACCTCAGAATGACATTTCATCAAAAAAATTTCTTCAAGATTGGTTTAGAAACAAACTTGGAGTAGTGTTAGGTTAGGGTAAGGATTAGGGTTAGAGTTGGTGTTTGGAATAGGGTTAGTGTTTATAGTAAGGGACCGTTCATTATTTATACCGGGGGTGGTACCGAAGAGAAGCGAAAAACACTGTAACTTTTTTATTTACCCAACCTCAACATTGGTCAAAATAATGTTTATCCAACCCATGTGTTACTGTAGTAACTGTACTTAATAATAATTAAACACACAAGATTATGATGACAGAAATTAATTGAGTTGCCTAAATTCTAAAAGCTCACTCACACTCAAACTCGCTGATGTGCCAAAGCAATCACGTTCCTGCTGATCAATAATAGAGTCCTTCCTCATCACTGATGGTCTAATTTAATTTAACAACTTTATTGGAACCACAATATAAACAGATAAAAACAAAACAACACACAAAAAAGCAGAACTGACAATCAAACAGAAGCGAGTGATAAATAGTAGAAACTGTAGAATGATATAACTCAGCTATGTAAGCGAGTAGGAAACAATATCATCGTGGAATATCATCACTCGCCTCTGTTTGACAGTCGTCACAGTCCGCATTAACGATTAGTTGAATAGCCCTATTCACATTAGAGGCGGACAAGTCGTCTAGACGAACAAATCGTCTCTCAAAAATCGTCTTCACAGACGGACAAGCAGTCGAACAAATTCAGACGACTTGTTCGTCTAAAATTTTGTCCGACACGTTTTCACATGATTTGTCCGACTAAAAGACGATTTTGAGACGATTTGTTCGTCTAGACGACTTGTCCGTCTTCTAATGTGAAAACGGCTATTGCCTATGTGCAAGGCATCGACAAGTCAAAAGTTCTATTCAGCTCCAATTTAAACATGTCCTTAATTGACCTTTTAAAGAGCAATAAACTACGGAGAGGTCTCTCGGAGGAGCAACGAGAATGGTCTTGTTCCAAAGCTTGACGATGCG